ATGCCTGTGCCTTTGAGGCCAGGGATGAGGGGCACCACCACAGAGCCACACCTGCTGGTCATCTTGCAAGGGACAGTGGGGGGCAGCTTCCACACTGACATCCAATACACAGACTGCTTTGAATTGACGACTTCCCTTTGAAATTTAATCACTATAGTTACTTTAAAATTTCATTGATTAACCAGTAAACATAATCTACTGATAATTTTAAAGGCTCATTTTATTTATTTTTTATTTTAAATGTTTATTTATTTTTGAGATCAAGAAGAGACACAGAGCATGAGTGTGGGGTGGGGCAGATAGAGAGAGAGGGAGACACAGAATCTGAAGCAGACTCCAGGTTCCAAACTGTCAGCACAGAGACCAACGCGGGGCTGGAACCCACGAACGTGAGATCATGACCTGAGCTGAATTCGGACACTTAACCAACTGAGCCACCCACACGCCACTTAAAGGTTCATTTTAAAAAGAGGTAAGATTACAAGAGAGGGTAAGAAGATAATTCAAATGATGTTTGAATATACTTTGAATTAGAAAATCAAACTGACAAAACGTAAGATTCACAAATCTAAATATATTTCTTTAACTAAATTCAGTATCTATTATTAAATTTCAGAAAGAAAAAACATAATTCATTAGAAAAAAGTTAATGCTATTGGAATTTTATTGGTTTTATGTGCTTTTTTTTACATTTAGTTCATATTTGTTTTATCACCGTAGAAAGATTGTAAGCAAGAGTTCATATCTAGTTTTATGCTCGAGATAATATAACACATAAGAAATGTAAGTCAACATGAATATTTTTTTCCCTTCTGTATATAACTCAAGTTGAAATACCAATAGCCTACATCCAGCGCTTCAGGTCTGGGTATATACTCAGGAGATCTGAAAACATATGTTCACATAGAAACTTGTACATAAATTTTATAGCAGCATTATTACTAATAATTGAAAGTGAAAACAACCCACATATCCATGAAAAGATAAACAAATTGTGGTATATCTACACAATGGACTATTATTTGGTCACAAAAGGGAATGAAGTACAGCTGGGTGGATGAACCTTGAAAACATTATACTCAGACGATATAATCTATTATTTATTTACATGAACTGTCCAGGAAAGACAAATCCATAAAGATTAAAAAACTAAACTAGTAGCTTCATGGAACTAGAGATGAGAATAAGCTACAAATAGGCATGAAGGATCTTTCTGAAGTGCTGGAAATGTTCTAAAATTGGATGGCAGTATTGGTTGCAAAACTCTCTAAATTTACTAAAAATCATTGAATTGTATATTTTAAGAGGATGAATTTTATGGTATGTGAATTATATCTCAATACTGTTATTGAAAATGCCAACGGTCTAGGCCTCTTCAAGACATTATATCAGCCATTCTTTTTTTTTAAATAATTTTTTGATGTTTATTTATTTTTGAGATAGAGAAAAACAGCATGAGTGGAGAAGGAGCAGAGAGAGAGGAAGACACAGAATCTGAAGCAGGCCCCAGGCTCTGAGCTGTCAGCATAGAGCCAGACACGGGGCTTGAACTCAGAGCTGAAGTGGGACGCTTAACTGACCGAGCCACCCAGGCACCCCATACCAGCCATTTCTAATAGTACTTACTAAATGAAAAACAATCAAAGTAGTGCATGTGTCGTGATGAGTACCAGGTGTTGTACAGAAATGTTGAATCACTAAATTAATCACTAAATTAATATTACACTGTATGTTAACTACCTGGAATTTAAATAAGAACTTAAAAAAAAGTAGTATTAGTTCTTCATATTTACAGAGTGATTTATATTTCAACAACCCCTTTGCACACATAATATCTAATTTGAAATTCATAAAAATATAATATGAGAGGTATTATCATCTCAGTTTTACAGATAAAGAAATTTGGTCATTATCAACTACCTTAAGTAACTTGGTCATTCTCATACATCAGTCACTGTGTGGTTGGGATTTGAACCTAGACCTTATAATTCAAAATATTATGCTCTGCCTCTCATAGAGCATCATGAACCCTATAGTTGGTTTGGGGAAGAATCAATCATTGAGAGTTCTGTTAAAGTGTCAGGAATAAAAACTTTTTAAGTTGCACTATCTCTTTGCCTTTCAGAGTTAATAAGTGGAATGTTCTCTAAGGTATATATAAGGTATATAATAGCTCTTCCAGAAGAGTCCCGGGAAGAAGTTTCATCATCTGTGTACAAGGATCAATTGGTTATGTTCCATTCTAAAATAATAATAATAATAGAAATCATTGTTAGTTTCTTCAAACCTAATTAGTGAAAAAATGATACTACTTCTAAGTCTTAGGGACTCAACACAGACTCCAGGGAGTCTGTTTAAACCTCTGATTGGGAGTTTATTTTCATATATACTGACTAGCTCACGGGTAGAAACACAGAAACATTAAGTAAATCTAAAGACTTCAGGACCAAGCTAGTTTCTAGAATTCTTTCTTAATAAGGTGACCTAGAAAAGAATCCATAAGTGGTTCCAAAAACCCAGAAGAGAATAAGCCTCATTTGACTTTGCCCAGACCACTGTTTACATGCTGTACTTTTATTACTTATTTTGCATCTCTCTTTTATCTTTCCCCATTTCTCTCTTTTCTCTCTGTCCTTTCTGTTACATCTCTTCTTTACTCTGTTTTGTTGACCATTTGTTCTAAGTGGACTAGTTATAATTTTTTCACTATTTCTTTATGGAAAATAAGTAAATAAACATGTATGCATTTCACCTTCCCAATAACCTGTTCAGTCACAGATGCCATGTGATGATTTTTCTAGGTTAGTCTGTTGAGTGGTGATTCTTTACCATCTTAAATGGTTGTGGACCTTTTTAAGAACACAAGAGCGCCTGGGTGGCTCAGTCCGTTAATAATGCTTAAGCATCCGCCTCTTGATTTTGGCTGAGGTCATGATCTCATGGTTCTTGAGATTGAGCCCTTCAGGCTCTGCACTGACACTGTGGAGACTGCTTGGGATTCTCTCTCTTCCTCTCTCTCTGCCCTTCCTCCACTCACAGGTGAGTGTTCTCTCACTTTCTCAAAATAAATAAATAAACCTTAAGGGGAAAAAAAAAAAAGAACACAGGAATACTATTGTACATTTCCCTGAAAATGTAGCTTCTCTTCTGTGAGCACCCAAAGATGATGGCCAACCTGCAGGTGAGGAAGTGAGTCATCTCCCTGGGTGGTCGCACATCTCAGGTCTTTTTCTTTACCACTTCCTAGGCAGGACTCAGTGCCTGCTCTACACGGAGATGGCATATGATCCATTTGCTGACATCCGCCACCCACTGTGTTTCACCATCATCATGAATGAATCACCGTGAATTCATGAATTCACATCATGAATGTGCCCTGTTGGCTGCTGACACCTGGTTTACTAGCTCTTCTCATGCCACATTTCTCACCATGCTGACCTTCCTACTGCCATACTGTGGGTCTCACAAGGTAGACCATTTCTTATGTGACATCTTCTGGGTAGTCAAATTGGCCTGTGGTAACACCATCTTCATTGAGACAGTGAGCTTCCCCAACACTGGTCTTGTGCCTATGACATGTTTTCTTGCCGTCCTTGCCTCTTACATCTGTATTGTCATTGCAATCCTAAAGGTGCGCTCTGCTGAGGAGAGGTGCAAGGCAGCACCCACCTATATTTCCCACCTGTCAGTGGTCACACTGTTCTTTGGACCCTGTTCCCTTATCTATACCCAGCCATCTTTGAGTGAGATGCTGGTCACCCCAGTGCAAATCTTTGGCAATGTAGTCATCACCCCCATTATGAATTCCACAATCTACACTCTGAGAAGCAAAGAGGTCAAAGGAACCCTGAAAAAACTGGCTGGAGCCCAGGTTGCTTCGGAAGGTCACTATGTGTTCTAGATAATATGTCTTTTCTTGATAAGATGCACTGCAAATATCTTTTCTTAAGACATTTTTGATAAAATCAATGCCTTCATTTAATGTGAATGATTTATCAAATTTTTCCTCTATAATCTCTTTCAGAGATGACTGTACCTTGTTTAGAAATCATATGTTATCCTTAATTTATGTCTTTAATGTATCATAGTGTTAAGGTGGCTGGTGAGATGAGCGGCAAAGACTTGTACTAAGAGTGAAGAAACGAGCAAGACAGAGTTTATCGACTCTCCAGGGAGGAAAGGGGCCAGACGTCCAGAGAGATGTCACCCACAGTTTCTGTCAGGCTGGGCCTTCTATTTTTATTTTTATTTTTATTAATCTCTTAAATATTTACTTATTTTTGAGAGAGAGAGAGAGAGAAAATGAACAAGGGAGGAACAGAGAGAGAAGGAGACACAGACTCTAAAGCAGACTCCAGGCTCTGAGCTGTCAGCACAGAGCCTGATGTGAGGCTAGAACCCACGAACTATGAGGCTAGAACCCATGAACTATGAGATCATGACCTGAGCCAAAGTCAGACACTTAACCAACTGAGCCACCCAGGTGCCCCCAGGCTGGGCCTTTTAAAGGGTTTTGAAGGATGTGAGAGGGTTGCAGCTCTGCCCTCATGGGAGGCAGGGTGTGGGGAGGGCATTGACTCTTGGCCAGGTATATGTAGCAGGAAGTGGCAGGTTTTTCCGGGGGCTCTGTCTGGGGCTCCTCCAGGTTGTGGGTTATGATTAGGCTAGAGAAGATTATGTCTTGTAGTTGAGGTCTACTTTCAGGGAATGTAGGGCACTGTGGTCTAGAAAAAGTTAAGTTAAGGCCAAGTGCAGACAACTGAGTTTTGTCTATAACTGTGGTGGCTGGGAGGTGGAGGAGGGGCTTTGAATAGATTCTCTTCACACCATTTTGATTTTCACTTTTAAGTCTTTAATCCACCCGGAACTGACTTTTGTTTGAGATGATGTAAGAATTCAATTCCCTTTTACTTAAAAAAATGTGAATGTCCAATTAATTGTCCCAGCATCATCTATTTAATATTTTAACATCCCTTACTGTCCCGCAATGCTTCTCCAATATGGCCTCCAATGACCCCCATCTTCTAGGCTTCATGCTGTTGTGTAGTAATCAGGTCCGTGGGTTTAGAGACTTGGTTTCGTGAGTACAATGGGGCAGAGGTGATGGAATATCACCTCCAAAATCAGGTCATAAAAGACTATGGCTTCAATCTTGGGTGCAATTCCTCTACTTTGCTATCTTTAGGACTGACTTCTCCTTGGGAGAAGGCAGCTGCTATGTTGCAAGACCGTTCCTATGGACAGGTCTCGGGTCTGACAATAGCCATGTGAATAAGCTTGGAACCAAATCCTTCCCTAGTCAAGCTTTCAAGGACACTAGTCCGGGCAACAGTATGTAACCTCTCTAGAGACTCTGAGCCAGAGGTCCCCAGTTAAGTTGTACTTGGATTCCTGACCCAGGAGAGATAATAAATGTCTGTTATTTTAAGCCACTCATTTTGGAATAATTGGTTATGCAGCAATAGAAACTAAAATCTATGACTATTCATATTTTCTATTTCTCTTTTGAGTCTCTGTTAATAAGTCTGTGTAAAGTTTTTGTCCAGTTTATCAAAGTTTTCAACTTTATTGGAAATAAACTTTTTCCAATGTTTATTTATTTTTGAGAGAGAGAGACACAGCATGAGTAGGTGAGGGACAGAGAGAGACAGAGACAGAGAACCTGAAGCAGGCTCCAGGCTCTGAGCTCTCAGCACAGAGCCCGATGCAGGCTCAAACCCCAAACCGTGAGATCATGACCTGAGCTGAAGCTGAGCATTCAACCCACTGAACCACCCGGGCACCCCGGAAATAAACTTTTATATGTGCCTTCTCTGTCTTTTCCAGTAGTCATCTTTACAGATGTATATCTCTTCTCTTAGTCTTTTCAGAGAGCCAGATTTTAGCATTGTTGATCCCTTTTCCTTTTGCTTTCTCTACTTCATCAATTTATGCTTATGTTATTTTTAATTTAATTTAATTTAATTTTTTTAGTTCTTTGAAAACATAAACCTCTTGTACATGAATGATGAACAGTTCTCACGTTTCAAGCATCTGATCTCAAGTAGCAAGGTTCTTGATACACTTCATCGAATAGAAATTCCAGATTCAGCAAACATGTCTTCTGCGCAGTGGTAAAAATTCTTAATACATATTTGTTGTTTAACATGCTAATACCTTTCCAGAAAAACCATGTGGAGAACAAGTCCTAGTTCAGGGAAGTCAGCTTTGCCAATTGACAAGGCTGCTTTTTGGGGAGTCTGATCATGGAAATTATATTTCCAAATAAAAATGTTAGAAAGAAATACCTGAAAGGTAGGAGAAGAACTAAGGAGAACAATTCAAGAGAAAGTATTTGAAATTGGATATTTCAAAACCTGAGGTGTATATATAGTTGTTACTTCTCATTCTACTACTGTATCCTGAAAATGGGAAAATGCTCTCTACATTTTTTCTAAGATTGAGCTGTACCCCAGCACTTTCCTCTCACTTCCTTAGGTCAACCACAGAAATAGATATTTTTAATGTTTTTTTTAAAATTTATTTCTGAGACAGAGAGAGAAACAGTGTGAGCAGGGGACAGTCAGAGAGAGAGGGAAATACAGAATCTGAAACAGGCTCCAGGCTCTGAGCTGGGTGTCAGCACAGAGCCCGACACGGGGCTGGAACCCATGAACCGTGAGATCATGACTTGAGCCGAAGTCAGACGCTTAATCAACTGAGCCACCCAGGTGCCCCAACCACAGAAATAGAAAGTACAGATAGGATTCTATCTTGTTCATGTCACAGTAATCCTACAAGGGGGAACATCAGCATATTGTTTCAACTGGATTATCTATTTACTTCTAATTACTCCTTTTGCTCAACAACCTCCTTCAATCAGAATTCATTCAGGAATGGGATCCCAAGGGACTCCAAGGGTATTTACATTTCCATGCAAGAGAAAACAATATAGCTATTAGTGTCTTGGAAGAAATCTTTGCAGAAGACAGAGGTACATTCAGCTTTATGTCATTTAACTTGAGTTTGTTTCACTAAGAAGAACAGGCTTTTCTTTCCATATGGGAAGATAATGGGAGGAGATCCCTGACTCAGGTTTACCATGTGACATCAAAGGCAAATTTGGGCAGAAGGTCTTGGAGAGACAGATGGTAAAATGATCAAACTTCCTCCTTGTGAGTCACATAAGTGCTATCTTCATCTTGTTCTTTCTGCTCCTCTTTTCTTTCTTTCTTTTTTTTTTGGTTTAATATCTTTATTATAATAACTAGTAACAATTTAACCATAAAAACCAACAATCTGGGTAGTTTATATTAATACATAACTTTGAGAATCCAATACAGAAAATGCACAAATGAAAAACTACACTGAGAAATAATTAAAAAGAAAAAGCATGTATTGGAAAATCAGGCATCAGTTTTATTGTTATTTTGAAGACAATGTGCATTCTTCTCTGGATACTTTTCTTTTCTAAAATAGTTTATTGTCAAGTTGGTTTCCATATAACACTCAGTGCTCATTCCACTAGATTTCTTAAAAATTTTTAAAAAAATTTTTAAGTAGTTTATTGTCAAGTTGGTTTCCATATAACGCCCAGTGCTCGTCCCCACAAGTGCCCTCCTCCATGCCCATCACCCCCTTTCCCCTCCTCCCCACCCCCATCAGCCCTCAGTTTGTTCTCAGCATTCAAGAGTCTGTCATGGTTTGCCTCCCTCCCTCTGCTTCTCTTTCCTTTCTCATATATCCAGGGGAGAGCATAACTTGGAATACTTGCTTTACAAATGGTCTCAGAGTTCAGGATGAATAAGAACATGGAACTATTGAGCACAGAAATAAGACATTATTTACTTGGTTTGTCTTTCAACTCATCATGTTGGCCCAGCAACTCAAAAACTCCATCCTTGTTATTGTCCTTTATAACCAAAGATTTGGACTTGATTCAAAATGATTAGAAGATTAGATATTCTAAATGAGCTTAGACCTGGACACCTTCAGTCCAGAGGAGTCACTATAATGTATGACTCCTTTGGACAAAACATCCAGGACTTTGGAGGAGGTAGTATAGATTATGTGTAGCTTTTTATTGTGGATCTGGTCACTTTTTAGAGTGTAGTGCAGAACTTCTTCCTGGGTACAGAAGCCATGAGAAATTCTAAATATTCAGAAGAATAGGGCCAAGTAGGAACAAGTGTATGATCATGCTTCTTTACAAGTTTGGGTGGAGATTAATATCTGATGGTATCATATAAGTCCTTAGACAAGACAAAATAACTGAACGTTATCCAAGTTCACCAATCACTGAGTGAGTCAGTTCACTGCTTCACTCATCAAGCATTTATTAACCTACTCTGTGCCAGGCATGGTTTTCTACACTGACGATATAGCAGTGCACATCAAGAAGTCTTTACTCCCCTAGACTTTATATCTTAGTGCGTAGGTGGTGGTGGTGGTGCTGCGGGTGGTGGAGACAGGTTGGCTTTCCATTGCTTACTATGGAGGAGCAAGAACATTTTCAGAGGCTGATGACATCAATAGGAAAACCATGAATAACACTAGGACAAAATTTGACGAGGCCAGTGATGCCACAGTCTACCACAGATGCATCTGGTGGGAAGACTGATGATGTCAGGAGAAAAAAACATTTAGATCCCTAGTTCTGCCATTTCCAAGAACCTCAATTTAGAAGAGGCTTTTATGGTTAGATGTTTTCTTTTCTATAGATTTATGTCAAAAACTTAAGGTGAGGGTTCAATGAACTGAGATCATGTTGTGTAAACATTTCCAACTGTAAAATCGTGATTGTTCAACCCTTATGGCTCTCAAAAAAACAGACTCCATAATGGTGGTCCATAGTAGTGGTCAACAAATATAGTGATTCTCAAGCTGTAGTTTATATCTCAAGATAAGAAATGCCCCTGGCTAATTCTTTGGCTTCTTATATCCCTCTTCTCTGAAGGAACACATGTTTGTGTGGGCCCTGTCCTTCCCTTTGAAAGTCTTTGCTCTAAGATGCTTTTTGAAAAATCTTTATTTATTTTGGAGAGAGAGAGAGAGAGAGAGCGAGCGCAAGTGGGGGAGGGGCAGAGAGAGGAATACACAGAATCTGAAGCAGGCTCTAGGCTCCACGCTGTCCACACAGAGTCCAACACAGAGCTTGAACCTGTAAACCGTGAGATCATGACCTGAGCCAAAGTTGGATGCTTAACCAACTGAGCCATCCAGACACCTCTAAGATGCTTTTTAAAAAATATATTGTTTTAATAAGGAATGTTTGCATTTAGAATCAGCATAACAAAAATTTTTGGTACAAAAATTATTAACTTTTCTATGGGAACTATATTCTAGTTAAAATGCCCTGTACTCTGGATCAAAAGCAATTTTCCCTTAATTTTGAACCAAAATGCTATCATCTCAATGACGCATTTCATTTCCCCAGTGTGTTCACTGACATCAAGCCACTGACATCATGTCCTCTGCTTCCTTTATGAAAACTCCTCTAGGACTGTCTCTCATGGAGAAGAATTGCTCGATGATGAATTTATCCAGTTGCGAATTCCACACACAGAAGGGCTGGAGACTATACTTTTTGTCCTGTTCTTGGCCTTCTATGCCTGCACCCTGCTGGGAAATGTGTCTGTCCTCATGGCTGTTCTTTCTTCCACTCGCCTTCACACGCCCATGTATTTTTTCCTGGGGAACTTGTCTGTGTTTGACATGAGTTTCTCTTCTGTGACCTGTCCCAAAATGCTGCTGTACCTCATGGGACTGAGCCCCCCTCATTTCCTATAAGAACTGTGTCTTGCAGCTCTTCTTCTATTTCCTTGGCAGCACTGAATGCTTCTTGTATACCGTGATGGCCTATGACCACTTTGCTGCTATCTGTTACCCTCTGCGGTACATAGCCATCATGAACCCTAGAATCTGTGGGGGCCCTGGTTGTGGGCACATGGCTGTTAGGGTGTATCTATTCCAGCATCTTGACTTTTCTCACCTTCACTTTGCCATACTGCGGTCCCAATGAAGTGGATCAGTTCTTTTTGATATTCCAGCACTCTTGCCGTTGGCCTGTGCTGATACATCTTCAGCTCAGAGGGTGAATTTCACCAACGTTGGCCTGGTATCACTCTTCTGCTGTCTCCTAATCCTTCTATTCCACACTCCCATCACCATCTCCATCTTGCGTATTCTTTCAACTGAGGGCCACCTCCGGGCCTTTTCCACTTGCAGTGCCCACCTCATCGCCATCCTTTGTGTCTATGGGCCCATCATCACCGTCTATCTGCAGCCCACTCTGAACCCCATGCTGGGAACTGTGGTTCAAATTCTGATGAATCTGGTTGGACCAATGCTGAACCCTTTAATCTATACCTTGAGGAATAAGGAAGTTAAAACAGCCCTAAATTTTTTTTTGCACAGGACAAACCACGTTCCTGAGAGGTAGTAAGAGTCGATGGATGGGTTGGCGACATGGAATTCTTCCTGGCCCAACATGCAAAATACCCTTCTGGAATCCTCACATGGATTGCTGGAATTTCAGCACACGCTGAATGGCATGGCTCACTCTATCACAATACTGCATCGTTTTTTCTATTTTATTTTCTTGTATTACCTAAGTCCCCTCTCCCCAGTCTGTGTTGCTGTGGTTTTGACTTTCTTCTGTGAGGAACCTCCTGTCACTAAAAAGAAGACAGTTGGTTTTTGGCACTGCAGCATTTTGTCCACATTTCCCAGTTCATGTCCCTCTAAACGATGTGTCAGACAAAGCTTATGAAGAAAGACAATAAACAGAAGAATGGGATTTTAAGTAACTGATTGAGAGAGCATGATAGCATCTTCTCTCCTTCAATCTTAACAGATGAAATGTTTTCTCTTTCCTTCTCAGCTGTATAAAAGGGGAATAACTTAGAATTTATTGAAAAAGATGTTTTCTTCTCCATCCTATGATTGTCTGCATTCCCATTTTCTCTACTTGTAGGTCCTTAGGAAATGTGATTAGCTCCCGACTATGTAAGGAAAGTGAAAGCTTTGTGACTAGTGTCCCAGACTAGACATCTCCATTTCACTACTTCATAGCTCATAGTATGATTAAAAATGTGATACCATTTGCAACTATGTGGATGGAATGTAGACAATATTATGCTAAGTGAAATTAGTCAGAGAGACAAATATCATATGATTTCACTCATATGAGGACTTTAAGACACAGAACAAATGAACACAAGGGAAGGGAGGCAAAAATAATATAAAAACAGGGAGGGGCACATAACATAAGAGACTCTTAAATGTGGAGAACAGAGGGTTACAGAAGGGGTTTTGGGAGGGGGGATGAGCTAAATGGGTAAGGGACATTAAGGAATCTACTCCTGAAATCATTGTACTATATTGTAGTACTATATGCTAACTAACTTGGATATAAATTAAAAAAATAAAAATTAAAAATAAATAAAATAAAAATATGATAAAACAGTGGGCTTATAAGGCAAGTTATTAGACTGAACCAGTGGTTTTCTAAGGAAGACTCAAAGAGCCCCAGGCTTTAGGGAATTCATTCTAAGTCTTCCAAGTTAAGTATAGTGAGGACTCCCTTTTACCTTCTTTGTGCATTAGATTTCTGGCCAAAATTCCATTGGAAAAAGTCTGACAGCCTGTGGAGTATGTGATCTTCATGGTTCCTTCAAGACTAAAAACCGTGATGTGTATTGTTTCCTTCTACCTATGACTTTAAAGGTGTTGCTGCCTCTTCTTTAGCACCTGAACCTTCACCTTTTCTCTTCAGCAGCCACTTGAGCTTACTACACTTGTTAAAATTCCAAAGTCCATTCCATCACCTGCCAAACAATTCTGCTCTTCCAATAAAAACAATGACAAATACTTCCAATAAATATGATTATAGCTACTTTGGTTCACAGATGGCTACATGGAAACTTTGTTGAAGACACTATTTCAATCTATGCTATGGAAGTGCTATGAAAGACAAAGGTAGATTTTGCTGGATCTGTCATATGAACTGCCCAGACTACACATAATTTCACCTCGGCCTTTTGCACTCTGACTTAAACACTATACTCGAAAATGTCTTGATTCATTGGGATATTACACAAATTCAACTCCACAATCCCCTCCTAAGAATCCCTAGACATGAATTCTAATAGCAAAGTTTCCTTCCTGAATTTTCTGACTCCTTGGAAATATCAAGTATTTAATTGCTTTAAATAGCTTTGTCACCAATTTGTTCCTCCAGCTTATGTCTTTTGGCCAATAGTACGAAGCTTATTATTTATAGAGCCCTTACTACTGGTCAGATACTATGCTAAATGCTATAAAAAATGATCTCATTTAATCCTCAAAATAATCTTGTGATTTTTGTGTTATTATTCCCATTTTATTGATGAATTCCTAAGGTTTAGAAGGAAAAAAATAAGTTTCTCATTCAAGATCACACAACTGGAATGTGATGGGGCTGGGTTATGAAGCTGAGGCTTTTGCTCTTAAATATTAAGAAACTACTTTTCAGATGCTTAGGAATCTTCCAGTTAAGAACAGATAGGTACTCAGTAAGAGCACTTACTTTTATTAATGTCAACCCACGAAAATAAAACATCCTAGAAAAGGGCATTTTTCTCACCCTTATGAAAGAAATAATAACCAAGGCAGTCAGTGCTGTGTTTAGTCCTCAGACATATGTGGCAGAGGAATTGAGGCCTCTGGTCCCATAGTGAGATATGGTGGAACATACCAATTAGGAACCAGCTGGGACACAGCCACAGAAAAGCAAGAAAGAGGGGCCACACAAGAATAAGAAATCTCACATCTTTCTCCACATCTTTTCCCAAAATAAAAAGGGTGCGGGGGCTGTCAGTGAAAGAACTGGAATCTTTGAGTGTATCATCTGGGCAAGTTGCAAAGAGGAGAGATGATCAAAGTTAGGAAAAGAAGCAAGACCTGAAGAGAAAGTTCTGTCCCCAGACATGCACCTGATGCCTCCTTCTAGCACCTCCATCCCCTTTTCTAGGAAGTTTCCTGAACCTTATAAAGAAATGATTATTAATTTCCTAGTGTTGATTTTTCACTGGACCTAGGCCATGTTCCCTTTGTCTAGCAGCTTGCAAACCTCTTTCCAAGCTACACTATTGCTTTGCATTGAGCCTGGTGAATTAACCTTCTGGAGGAATCTCAGAAACATCGCAGGAGCTGTTGCTGGGGAAAGGGACATCCCCTAAAAGATCCAAGATCCCCTGTCATAGTTTCAAATTTGCTTAAGGCCTTAGAGAAGTGATAGCAGTGGGAATGCATTTTCCCCTCTTCTTCTTCCTTTCTTCATAGATTATGTATATATATGTATATATTATTTATTATGTATATATATATATAATTAAAAAGTGAAGACAAATGCCGCATCCATTTTTAAAGGAATGCTAAGCCATCATCACAATCTCTCTTTTAAAAAAATGTTTAATGTTTATTTTTTAGAGAGAGAGAGCGCAGGGGAGGGGCAGAGGGAGAGAGGGAGGGAGGGATACACAGAATCTGAAGTAGGCTCCAGACCCTGAGCTATCAGCACAGAGTCCCAACTCAGGACTCGAACTCTTGACTGTGAGATCATGACCTGAGCCGAGATCAAGAGTCAGCTGCTTAACCGACTGTGTCACCCAGGCACATCTCTCTTATGCTATCTATTACTATTTTAACTAAACCTGATTTTACTCATGGCTTATGTAAATTAATTTTGACCCCATTTTTCATGAGAGAAACCATTGGGATTTTAGATGTTTCTTATCATTAATTAGTAGCTTAGTAGTACTAGTGTTTAAACATTTAATTAACATATTTCTTGCAACGTCCCCTAAAGCTAAGCTTCCTGTATAAATCTGTTTGAGACTCTTCACCATCACTACAGATATGCTTCTCTGTGTTCCTGGTTGTTCACATTTGCTGGAGAGATGGTGGAGAGGCCCTCTAGGATTTAACTCCTCCTTCCTCTTTATTTGTGAATTAGAAACACATTTTCCTGTGGTAGCCACCACTTAGGCTCTCTTTTCAGCTGAACTGTTCATTTATTCCATAATTCATTTCATGAAGAAGAGCCAGACCTCGCAACTCCCTGAGGTCTTTTCCATTCTCAAGCAATCTGAAAGCTTCTAAAGTAAAAATAATGTTTACTTTAGGGATATCGAAATTCATGTTAACAAAATATTTATAAGATACATTTATTGAGCTCTGAATGCCCAATTAGGGGATGCCGGGTGCCTGCCAGTCTATGATGGAAACAATAAAATGCAGCCTACTAATGTTCCTCAAAGAGGATTCAGATCCTCTGAACTCATTATAAGTTTCTTTTAATGTTTATTTATTTATTTTGAGACAGAGAGACAGCTAGGGTGTGTGTGGGTGAATGAAGGGCCAGAGAGAGAGGGAGATAGAGAGGCCCAAGCAGGCTCTGTGCCTGAGATCATGAGATCACAATTCGAGCTGAAATCAAGAGTCTAAAGCTCAACCAACTGACCTACCCACGTGCTCCCCCCCCCCATTAACATTCTTACCAGGAAAACTCTTAAAACAATAAAACAAGGAAGGTGAACCAAAAGCGTACACTGAGCCAACATTAAAGTCGCTATAAAAGCATAGCCTTAATCATGCTGGTCAGAACACCTGTTCCAAAATATTTTATCTTTTTCATGCCAGGAATTCTGCCATTAACATATGAATTTCTTCCCAAATTCTATACTCTCTTTTGAAATGCAAATCCTACCCACGCCCCACACCCCCCACCGCCAAAGTAACAGAAATGAGATGAGAGGTGTCTGTTTATGGTTGAGGGAAAGAGAAACAAAAAGGCAGATGAAAAGATGCATAGAAACAGTTCTCTAGGTTTCCATCTGGCTAAAGGTCAGCACAATACCCTCAAATCTCTTTTCCCCTTAAGACACCCTGGAGAAGTAATTCCGTTGGTATTTGTTAAATGTCTATTTAGACAGAGAAGCAATTCTACTGGGTGGGAAGAGTAAATTCTGTAGAATGGGATGAGGGGGAAGATGGTTAACTTGAAATTATCTGCAGTCATCTTAGAAATTTTCTAAGCTTCCATTTTATGCTAAATGTCACTTAAAAGTTTGATTAATGAATATTTTATACTCTTCCATCATAACATCATTTCTGTTTCTTCCATCCTCAAAATTTCCAGTCATTCTGACTTCATAAAGATAAACTCTATTAATTCTGTTGCATCAAGAACCCCAAGCCCACCTTGGATTAATCCTTGTCCACATAACACGGTTTGAAAGACAGGGCTCAACCTTCATCCCAATGTGGTCACTGTGCAGTTTATTTATTTTTATTTTAATTCATTAATTATTATTATTTATTATTATTATTATTGAGAGAAAGAGAGAGTGAGCATGAGAAAGGGAGGGCAGAGGGAGAGGGAGAGAGAGAGAGAGACAGAGAGACAGAGAGAGAGAGAGAGAGAACGAGAACCTTGAGTAGGTTCCGCACCCAGCATGGAGCCAGATGCAAGGCTCGATCCCACGACCCTGCAAAGACCCTCCTGAGCTGAGCAAAATCAAGAGTTGGACGCTCAACCAACTGAGCCATCAGGCACCCCACATGTGTTCTTTTTAAGAGAAATTTGTTTTTTCTTCTTTCCTTCTCTTTCTCTCTCTCTTTCTACATGCATATTCCTACTTACTTCCTTATCTTCACCTAGTATTCGGGGCCTCCAGTCTGATCTTAAATAGTTAAAAGTTTTGTTTTGCACTTCAGACCCTGTGATCTTCCCCCTTCTCACCCACTGGTCCTGAGCAAGCTTCTCTGGCTCATATCCTAGAATGAGTTCTGAATGTTAAAAAAAAAAAAAAAAAAAAAAAAAAAAAAAAAAAAAAAAAAAAAAAAAAAAAAAAAAAAGAAAGTATGTATACACATATTTGCAAAACAAAGATATTAAACACACTATTGAAACTAATCATGGTTTATGTGATGTTACCAGAAAATATTCTTTCTTCTTTGCATTTTTCTATATTTTCTTATTTCAAGCATTAGTTTCATAATTATAAAGAGACAATAAAAGTTGCTATTTAAACACAAAATCAATTTTGGAGAAAACAGAAACCCTTATAATTCTATTACTGGAGAAATAGAAAAAAAGAAGGGCTGCTTGAGTGGCTCAGTCAGTTAAGCAATTGACTTTGGCTCAGGTCATGACTCGCAGTTCAGTGGTTCAAGTCCTGCATCGGGCTCTGTGCTGACAGCTCAGAGCCTGGAGCCTGCTTCAGTTTCTGTGTCTTTCTCTCTACCCCTTCCCTGCTTGCCCTCTGTCTCTCTCTCAACAAACAAACCAATAAACATTTAAAAAATTAAAAAAGAAAAAGAGGGGGAAAAAACCTCTTTCCACCCTGCCTCCCCCCCCCCCCACTTCAACAAAACTTTCATGTATCCTTTCTTTTTTTAAGAGTGCAGTTCAGGAATATTAAATACATTCATAGTGTGCAGCTGTCACTATCTACCCCATAACTCTTTCTATTGTGTAAAATTGAAACTCCTCGCCTATTAAAAAACATCCCCCACTCCTTCCTCCCCTCAGACCTTGGCAACCACTATTACACTTTCTGTCTCTCTGACTTTGGCTTCCTCATTTAAGTGGAATCATGCAGTATTTGTCTCCTTGTGACTGACTTACTTCATTTAGCATCATGACCATCTACTTGTGTTGTAGCCTATTGAGAATCTACTTCCTTTCAAAGGCTGTGTAATATCCAATTGTATGTATATATCAGTCATTGACCCATGGAAACACACTACTTCCACCTTTTTAAAATTCTTTTAATGTTTATTTATTTTTGAGAGAGAGAGAGACAGAGAGAGAGAAAGAGCATGAATGGGGGAGGGGCAGAGAGAGAGAGAGAGGAAGACACAGAATCTGAAACAGGCTCCAGGCTCTGAGGTGTCAGCATAGAGCCCAAGGTAGAGCTCGAACTCATGAACCATGAGATCATGACCTGAGCCGAAGTCGGACGCTTAACCGACTGAGCCACCCAGGTGCTCAACTACTTCCACATTTTAACTCTTGTAATGCTGCTATAGACATGGATGTACAAATACCTCTTTGAGACCCTGCTTTCAATTCTTTTGGACATGTACCCAGAAGTGGAATTGCTGGGTCATAGGGTAGTTCTGGTTTTAATTTTTCAAGAAATCTCCATACCATTTTTCCACAGCAGCTGTACCATTTTACATTCCCACCAACAGAGCACAAGGGTTCCAGTTTCTCCCCATATCCTTTTACTATAAATTTTTGCATAATTGACAAGCTATGAAATCCTATTTTTCTCCTAACATAGTACTGTACATTTTTAAGATATATTTTATATCTTGACACAGTTTTCAAATTTCTTATTTAATAATACTTTTGCTGTTTAAATGTTTATACAGATTTCCACTGAATAAGTGTATCTGGATATATCCTCATTTACCCTGTGACTTGCCTATTGAAATGACTGAGCAAGTTCTGATGTTGTGATTTATGTGAATGACCAAATATATTCCTGAATGATCAGGAACTCTGTCCCTAGTTCCTGGCTCAACACTTGGAATTTCCTGAGACATGTGAGCAAGGGGGCATTTTTTGTTGTCATATTTGGTCTCTCATCCACAGTTCCTGAAGTCACTTCAGAGAATAAAGGTGAAATGGGTGTCTTGTTACTCCTAACAAGTTCCTTTCTACCACCCCTGGGTATCTGTTAATGAGCTGACTTTTGGAAAGCACCTAAGGATGGGGCCTGGTTGCTAGGGGAACCAACAATGAATAAAAGGTTGCAACTTTTAGTCCTACGCTCTGATTTTGACAGAGAGAAGAGGACTTAGAGGTGGAATCAGTCAGCACTGGCCAATGATCTAATCAATTGTGGCTACGTGATGAAGCCTCCATGAAAACCCAGAAGGACAGGGTTTAGAAAAGTTCTAAGTTGCTGAATGCACGTAGCTGAAAGGAAAGTGACATGCTGGGAGAGGGTATGGACACTCTGAGCACTTTACCCCCACCTTACCTTGTGTATTTCTTCCATCCGGATGTTCCTGAGTTATATCCTTTTATAACAAACTGGTCATCAAAAAGTAAAATAGTTCCCTGTGCTCTGTGAGCTGCTCTAATAAATGAATTGAACCCAAAAAGGGGTCATGGGAACCTCCAAACTGTAGCCAAGTTGGTCAGAAGCCTAGATAAAAAACCTGGGCTTGCAATTGGCCTCCAAAATGTGTGTATGTTGGTGAACTTAGCTTGTGGGATCTGATGTTATCTTCAGATAGATAGTGTCAGAACTGAGATGGATTGTAGGACATTCAGCCGATGTCAGAGAATCACTTGGATGTGTGAGGACATCATTCTCCCCCCACCCCCTTTTGGAAATTGGGTCCAGCACAACTATTATAAGGGAAATAGCAGGCATGTAATGCTATTCATAGCAAACATCCTAGATCCGTTTCTGCTTGCTATACTGATGCTCCCATTCCGTTACTGTCATTGCCTGGCCCCAGCCTTTTGACCCTTTTTCCGTTTATCAAAACTTAAATTCCCTTTGAATTAATTTTTTTTGCTTGTTTGTTCTCTCTGACTTTTAGACTCACTCCAAGGACTTAACTCATATGTGTCTTACTGGAGATTATTGCTTTTTGCTCTCGAGCAAAGGGCTTAATGCAGAAGTACATCAGGTTCTCTGCCAGGCTGGAAGCTGCATAAAAGTAGGAACCATTTAGTTGTCTTTCTAAAATCAGTCTCTCCCCGTGGCCTTGTGCAGGGCCAAAGATGAGGCAGTCAAGATAATTTGTAGATTTTGGTGAGTCGAGTGAACATTTTTGGGTGTCTTGTTTCTTTGTTTTTACAAAACCCATTTTCTGGGATGATGTCTGTTGTTATAGCAACAGGTACAAATTGTCATGGCAACCAACAGGCTCAGGCATCAATTTCAATTACTCATAAAACAGAAATGCTTGTCTGATTAAAAACAAGCAAGAGAGTCAGACTTACACTCTCAGGTTCTATGTTTTCTACTTCACCTCTGGCAACAACTTAGCTATCAGTTTTTGAAACAAAATGGAATAGTCTGAAAGACTTGTTACTTTAAGCAGCTAACGAAATTTATTGGCTTTCAGATCCCTCAATTTGTGAATGAGCATTTAGGGTGACGTTTTTGTCAACCTACTCTTGATGGACATAGAAGGACAGGTGAATTATGAAGTTCAGAAACCCTGCTTGGATAGACTGAGTGTCCCTGACGATCCTTAGGAGGGTGTTTATCATTCCTGTCCAGGAAGCATTGACTAATGATGGAATCAGAATGCTCAACAGGGGAGAAACCTATCAGCTGGTATGGTAGGCAGAATGATGCTCCTGAAGACATCTACGTCCTAATCCCCAGACCCTGTGAACATGTTAGATTAGTGTCAAAGCAGAATCAAGGATGCAGGTGGAATTAAGCTATCTTAATTGCTAATTAGCTATCTTTTATTTAAAAGAATTTGTTTAATGTTTACTTATTTGTGAAAGAGAGAAAGGCAGAGTTTGAACAGGGAAGGGGCAGAGAGAGAGGGAGACACAGAATCTGAAGCAGGCTCCAGGCTCTGAGCTGTCAGCACAGAGACTGACACCAGGCTCGAACTCATGAGTGATGAGATCATGACCTGAGCAGAAGTCAGACACTTAACTGACTGAGCCACCCAGGCGCACTGCTAATTTGCTGACTTTGATGAGGAGATTCTCTTAGATGACGACAGTAGGCGCAATGTAATTACAAATGTTCTTACAAGTGGAAGAGGGAAGAAGGAGAGGAAAATGGAGAAATGGCAGCTGGGGAGGAGCCCAGCCCCTGTCAAAACCTTGATTTTAGCACAGCGAGACTCATTTTGGACCTCTAAGCACCAGAACTCCAAGACAATAAATTGGCATGGTTTTACGCTATTACACTTATAGTAATTTCTTACAGCAGCAACAGGAAACTAATACAGCTGGTATGTCTCTCAAGTTCACAACTGATTCGGAAGCTTCCCTGGGACTCCGCTCTCCTGGGCAAAGTTCTGAGAGCTAGGTTCCGAGGGCCCTATGGACTGATAAGCTCTTATGAATCTGTCAGCCTTGCAGAGAATATTGGCATGTCAGACTCGAAGCACACAAGAGGACAAAAGCCCTAGGTACTCAATGGGACACATCTTAGAAAGACATTGGGGTAAACACTTAGCTCTCACCTGCCCCAGAATTATAACTGAATATTGATTTCTAGCAGATGTCCCTCAGCCTCACAAGCCTAGTGTACTTTCAGTGCTAGAGGGCCTGGCTCTCAGAGAATATGAAGAAAAACATTTTAACAATGAATTATCACATCCTCTACATGGTCCAGAAGATCTCAAGCACCATTTGTTAAAACCAGGGGTAGGGGCACCTGGGTGGCTCAGTCAGTTAAGCATTCGGCTTCGGATCAGGTCATGATCTCACAGTTCGTGGGTTTGAGCCCTGCGTTGGGTTCCGTGCTAGCTCAGAGCCTGGAGCCTGTTTCAGATTCTGTATCTCCCTCTCTCTCTGACCTTCCCCTGTTCACGTTCTCTCTCTCTCTCTCTCTCTCTCTCTCTCTCTCTCTCAGAAATAAATAAAACATTAAAAAACAGGAGTAGCCATTTACTGAATGAAAATCAGTTCATCAATCTGTTACAAAAGATTCAGGGTGATTAAAAAGAAAAACAAAAAACAAAAAACAAACATTTGTTAGAACTTAATATTTAAAGGAGTGCTTGTCTTAAAACAATGCAAAAGCAGGGCACTTTGGTGGTTCCATCGATTAAACATCCAACTTCAGTGTAAGTCATGATCTCAGGATTCATGAGTTTGTTAAGTTCGAGTCCAACATCAGGCCCATATCAGTCTCTCTGCTGTCAGGGCAAGCCCCCTTTGGATCCTCTGCCTCCTCCTCTCTCTGCACCTCCCTTGCTCTCTCTTGCTCTCAAAGAACAAAAACAATGGAAAACAAAACTTATTATAAAATGTGGAAAATGGATTTTTGGAGGAAAACATCTAAACTCACAATATATACCCAAATGGCACCTGGGTGGCTCAGTCAGTTATGCGTCCAACTTCAGCTCAGGTCATCATCTTGTGGTTCACAAGTTTGAGTCCCACATCGTGCTCTATGCTGACAGCTCAGAGCCTGGAGCCTGTTTCAGATTCTGTGTCTCCCTCTCTCTCTTAAAAATAAATAAACATTAAAAAATTACAATATGTACCCAAATGAATATCAGATGGAGGAAGATTTAAATAGTAAAAGGGAAACAAAATCCCATAATTCTGATGAAGAAAATTCTTCTTTCTTTTTTTTGAGAGAAAACTTTCAAAAAACCCATTGTAAAAAGGAACCAGTTACCATGTGTTGCCAAATTCACCCAAACTATCGACATTCCCAATACATAAATATCCTACTAATTTCATTGTGGAAATATCCATGACTGGAAATTTGTATCACCTCTAGGATTAACACAGCCTACAGTCATTTAAATACATAACATAGAATACCATCTACTACCTTGCCTTTATTTGGGGGAAAATAGAGTAATTTTGTTCCATGGTAAGTTTTGAATACTTCAGGCTTAGTTCCAAATTTCTTTTAACAAAGATATTCAGAATGAGGTCCAAGAACTCCATCAACAAATTTTAATTTCTATCCACTTTATTTTATTTGTGGCCACTAATGAATACAGTAGGGAGCAGCTGCAATTCCCACTCACCTCATTCTGGGAGATTTCCTGACTGAGAGCTTTGTTTCGCTTGACAGAGTAGGTACCATTTATAACTATATAACAGAATAACAAAATTTTATTACTTTGTTCCTACTTTTGGAGAACAAAATTAAAATAACTTAAATCTGTGGAACGGTTGGAATGCTTTTATGTCTCAAATTGCCTTTGTTCATTAAATTCAGGATGCAGAAAATGACTCCAAATAAGATAGAAGTCCAATACGTTCCCATTGATTTAGGCCTATTAATAACTGTCGTAGCAAAAATGAACTTTTATGTTGCACGGAGAACAGAGAACACAAATGAAGGGCCAGGAAATCACAGTATCAGGTAGACTAGTACCTCTCAGAGACAGACAGGCACATAGAAAGCTCCATCTTTAAATCACAAATTCTCCACTAGCCTCTCTGATTATGTTACAAATGTCACTATCAGTTCCAAGTGCACTTATAAATGCATGTACTGTGACCCAAAGCACTTAGTATTCACTACAGAAATGATCTCGAGAATAATTCTCTTATTAAAGAAAACTGGGATGCCATTCAAGTAGAGTAACAAATACTCAACTCTTGAAAGTTCTTAGGTAAAAAATCAAAATCCATATTTTTTATGACATGATTATAATTATAGAGAATTGAAAACAAGGAATTACATTTCATTTCCTAAAGATGCATTGCTACTGTTGACCTCACACCCACCCTAAGATATACATTTTTCATATCATAAGTTATTAAAATATATAGCATTAAGATATGATATCACATTATTTACCATTCCTTTTGAGAGATGAAATATCTAAAAACTTCCAATCCAATGACTCATCTGAAAGCCAATTTTTTTTGGATAATTGAATAAAATAATATACATATTATTTATTTAAATTAAAGATATAACTTTATTAAAGATAAAGAGGAACATATATGTGTCTGTGTATTATGACTATCATAAATATATATGACATATATGCCTCTTCTATATACAGAGATAGAAATTCTCAGAGGAAGAAGTTTTTACACATACCTAATTCATCAAGATAAGTTTGCTTTTGAATATAATTCAATATTAGAGAAGGGTCTGATGAGTCAAGATTTTATTCGATTTCTCCCCCTTAAGTAATTGAGTCAGATTAAAAGCAGTCCACTTTGTTCTTCAATCAAACGATTTCAATATTTTTAAATGTTTAAACCACTTTTATCTAACCCATATTTCTGAAAAGAATTAGCAATTGTTTACATCATTCAATCATGCTTTCAATTTTGTATTTTCAGTTCATTTTTCAGTGCTTCTATGAAATTAAGTAAAGGAACTCTCATTTAGAATGGAATCAGGAGGCCAGAAAGGGGAGCTCTCACTTCATTCCACTTCTCATTAATTGTAGACTCCCACAGAAAGAAATAGACCTTGTATTCCAACTGGAAGAAGCCTACTATACTACTCCCAACAGGAGGAAGAGCATTTCTCCTCACCTGGCAACAAAATTAGCCAATCAGAAAATACCACAATTCCACTGTCAACATTTTGTAAGAAATCCTCACCCCCTTGATCTCTTGCTTTCCTCCAATGGACTTTGATTCAAGACAGCCCTTCCCAATTTCCTCCTTTTCTCTATAAACTAACTTTCCTGTCCTTTGGTCTCCGGATTTGCCTATGGTTTGTCATAGCTTGTGTGTCCCAAATTGCAATTCCTCTCCTATTCCTGAATAAAGTCATTTTGTTGGTAAAGTAACTGGCTGTTTTACTTTTAAGGTTGACGGATCCACTCTGATCTTATTCTTAGTAGAGGTTCATTCCAATGCATCAGTAATTCAGCTTAGTTTAAAGAACCTTTGTCATCTTATTTCTCTCTCCTCATGCTTTTTCCTCAGTTTGGTAGTAGTGGTTAGGGGTGCTATCTATACTTCCAAGGAAGAGACTTTGAGAAGAAAAGATAGTAAAAACAAGATAAAAAGGGGCCAGCCAGATGTCTGAGGCTGGATACTCCCCTTGCATACTTCTGGCTTCTGTAACCTTGTTTGCCTCCTGTGTTCACCAACTTCCTGGATAGTACTACCCACCGATAGGTGCCACCTCCTCTTTTTCTTTTATCTCTCAACCCCCTACAATCCCAGCCATAAAAGAAGGCCAATGCCAAAGTTTGGGGCTTAGCCTTTGGAGGTGACTCCCCTGGGCTGACACTGGTGCACAATAACTAGTCTTTTGCTGATTCCCTGAGTGCAAGTGTGTGTGGCTTTTCTCTTTTTGGGTGCCGAGTATTTGCTGTAACAACTTCAGAGTAGAGAAAGGACACTTGTAGCTTGGAGCATCAGAGAAGGTTTTGTTCGGATAGTGTCCTGGAAGATGAGTATAATTTGGACCTACAGAGAAGAATGAAAGTGATATACTACCCAGAGGGAACAAAACCAAGACTCAAGAGTCAACAAAGTAGGGCACATGTGAGAAATGCACTAAAATTCAGGATCTGTCGTCCAGCAAAATATGAAACGTAGCCTCATATAACAATAGAATATTCAAAGTAAGGGTTGTACTGGAGAAATTTGCTGCATTGTTCTGGGGAATTCTGAAGTAGTTTAAGTTGGCCTGTGGAAAAGTCAGGTATGAAAGGGAAATAGGAGCAAGACTGGTGATGTAATTTAGAAGCAGATCCCAGAAGGTTTTGAATGTCAAACTCAACATACCAGCCTTGCAGTCAATAGAGAGCCATACTAATGAAATTTTTAGCAAGGGAGCAAAATAATTATGTCAATGTTCTACAAAGTTTTGCAGACTTTATTGTAGAATAGTTGACATTTAGTTTTAACAAATCATAAGAAGAGTTTGAAATACACTCATAAACTCTCATAAGCCATTTTATTTAGTGATGAGGGAGCATAAGGCAAGCTGAGGGCAAAGCACAAGCTAACAACACCCTCGACCCTGGTGGGATATGGGCAATATTCCTCAGGCACTCCCAGTTGCCCAAGAACAAAGGAAAGGACAGAAAACAAATAGTTGAACTGACAGAGGTCACAGGAGCTGAGTCTCCATCAGCTTGCAAATTATTTTAGTAAAGTACAAGAAAAAGATAATCCTATCAATAGCCTAATCTCCAGGAATTTCCTACTGTCTTAATGTTAATGCTCTGCTAGAGGGAAAAACAACTTTAGGATAATAATAGCAAGGCTTCCAGTAATTTGGGAGTCTTCTTTAACATATGCAAATTCCTTTAAGAAACTTCCTCTTGACTTTACCTCCCCCAATTCCATAGTATATAAATGGTTAACCTCTCACACTTATAATACAGTTCTTTCTGCCCATGGGTCCTGTCCCCATGCTTTAATAAAGTCACCTTTTTGCAACAAAGACCTCTTAAGACTTCTTTCTTGGCCATTGGCTCTGGACCCCCATCATTCCAAACCCCACCATTTTGGA